TTGTAAGATCAGTGACGAATTAGCCATGTTATCCTTGTACAACTTACAATACTGCACACTGCATGTTGCTGTCTGAGTTCACTAGCGGGGCCGAAAAGGTAGACCTCAATCCCCTAGGACCGTAGCTACAGAGGGGCAAGGGGGGAAATGGATTGCCTCCCTGAAAATATCATAACAACCAACCCATGCCATTACAGCAACTGAGCACCATTCCCCATTGTCTCTTCTGATATATTACTTGTCCCTCCCGATATATTACTTGTCCCTACTGAAATATTACTTGTCCTTCCTGATATATTACTTGTCCTTCCTGATATATTACTTGTCCCTCCTGATATATTACTTGTCCTTCCTGATATATTACTTGCCCCTCCTGATATATTACTTGTCCCTCCTGATATATTACTTGTCCCTCCTGATATATTACTTGCCCCTCCTGATATATTACTTTCCCCTCCTGATATGTTACTTGTCCCTCCGAACAATCTAGACTGGCTACCGGCCTGTAATCTCCACCCCCCTTCCCTCCTCCTGTATATAAGGAAACAGTTTTCTGTCGGCCTCCCTCCCTTTCACAATTCTGTGCCCCTACTTGTCATCTAATTATCCATTGAAACGTCAGTGTCGAGAACCTACAGACCAAAAAACCATGTTGGCAAATAAGCACGAAACACAAACAATCATAATGCCAGACCACGGCGTAATTTTGTGTACACGTTATCCTAGTCCGAGAAACTGTAACATAATCCAGAAGGTTACGTCAAAACCACCTGTCGGCTGTGTAATTTTATCAATTTTGTGTTAGAGCCAATGGAAAGAGTTAGATTCTCGGACTAACATTATCGTGTATTACCGTCTATTTTCTGTTGGAGCCATTAGAAAGGGTCAGATTCTCGAACTAACGTTACAGTGTATCTTTGTAAATTTTCTGTTGGAGTCTGTGGAAAAGGTCAGATTCTCGTGCTAACGTTACCATGTATTTCTGTCAATTTTCTCTTCGAACCTGTAGAAAGGTTCAGATTCTCGGACTAACGTTACCCATGTATTTTTGTCAATTTTCTTCAAATCGTGATGTTTGTTTTTTCGATTTACCTGTATTGACTCAAGGCTCGGGAAGAAAGTTTTACGTCTATATTTTTATATAAACACTCAAATATCAAAAGCAATTTTTGTTTTTATCTTTGAAGATATTTGAAATGGTTGAGATTAGAATGGATGAACAGTTTCCATTTTCTGTTTGTTCATTACCCTGATAGACTAAAACTTCTTTTTTTCTTTTGTAATTTATTAATGTAGAAGACTCGTAATGCCCCTGTGGGCTCATAACCCCAGGGCGTCGGGTCAAGATCGGAATGCAGTAGGCCTATCATGATGGCAAATGCCCAAAAAGGACCTTTTTTGCTTGCTATACAAAGTCCTTCATCACTGTTTTAGTTTCGCCATGACAGCGGCGTTAGTCAATTGTTTTTCTATTTTCAACTGCCGACAAACGATAGAGCACAAGGTCCTCCCTTTATTGTCCCATCTGAACAACAATAAGCTTTATTCATGCCGGTCCCACCAGTACAATGAAAAATTTAAGGCGTTTCATTATGGATATTTCTTTTTTTTTTAAACGAGTTCGTCTAATGATTTACTATGACCCATCAACAACCATCAACGTGGCACAGAAACATCCATCCACCGTATGAATATAGGACTTCAATTTACACCAATGGTCACCGACTGTACTGGTTTACTGGCCCAGTTAAGTCTTTTGTTGATTGTCACCACAAATTACCTTCAAAATATAATAAATGTAGCCAAATCCAGACTCGGTCACTTGCCAAATTCAACACGTATCAATCAGTCAAATATTTGAAAAAAGAACTTCACATTCCTTGACTGTAGACCCGATGACAGTCGACAGACACGTCTGATTAGTTTAACGTCTGCGTTTTCCCGCCATGTTAACCAAACAGACAACATTGAAACGTGAGCAGACGTGATTACCTAATGATCTATTTTAAATACGTAACGCTGGAAACTGGGTGGTGTAAAGTGCTCGTGTTCTGTCGACAACCGCAAATATGACGTCATCAACAAATGACATCAAATCTAGTTTGCCTTCCATGCACATTTTTATCTGTTTTTTTTTTGTTGCAATTAGTAGGCCTAATGATCCTAAACTGCAAGATGATGGGGACAGCCTGGGCCTTATATTGCTATGATTAACCAGAGCATTTCTTACAAGATAAGGACAAGGACATCTGATGAGAAAAAGAGAGATGAGGAAAGTCAATGACTGATATTTAAAAGACACCTGAAGTTTTACACAATGGACGAAGTGCCATGTTTATTTTGAGGCTGCCACTGACTGGGGAACAGGGCGTTTTCCACCTACCAAAATAAAACCAAATGTATTCTAGAATAGCTCTACTGAGTTTATTATTTCTAATTGTCTAGGGAAGCAAGAGATACCTTTGTAAATGTTTTGATGTAGTTATTACCAGGTGTTTAAGTCTTGCTGTGAAATGTGGTGATGATGGATTACGTAAGGAAGAACCATTCTCTTACCTGATTTATATCAATGAGAAAACCAGATTATATTCAACACAATAAAAGTTTTTAATGCACTGCAAAAGTAATAAAGTTTTAGATTTTAGTTGTTTTCGCATTGTCTTACCGAATTGTTTATTACAACCAGAAGTTACAGATGATAAAATGATAACAAGAAAGTACTAAACTCCAGTTTCGTGGTTGGAAAGATTTGTCCCACAGGCGTGGTTGGCAAGCGATTCAAAGGATCAGGCCGCCGGGCGTATACTCTCAAAACGATCTTAGCGCTAGGATGTCACAGGATTTTAACTTCTAATACTGTTCCTAGGATATCCTTGGATCTTAACTTCTGAAACTGTTTCTAGGATATTCTAGGATCTTAACTTCTAACACTGTTTCCAGGATATCCTAGCGCCAAGATCGATTCAAGAATATTATGCGGCCTGGACTTTGGTCTAAAACTAAGTGGTAGAAAGCGTTGACGTGGCTTGACAGGGAAATACAAAATCATATCTCTTGTACGATTTATAGGGAGGTCAAGATTTCCAAGGTCCCATCTTCCGGTCGAGTAGTATAATAATGTGATGTACAATCACAGGGGGAAGGGCCAAAAATGTTGGCTCATTGGACAATATTTGCAATTCATGGGCAATCATGTGAACGCGCTATTCGGCAATAGCTGAGAGCGCCAGCAGAATTTTACGGTACTGGTAGACCCTTGGGAACAAGCTTGCTCCCATAAATAGTTGGCTCTTCCATCCAAATCGGACAATAGAGATATTCTTAATATGAAAGTTACCAAATAGTTAGACCGCAACCTCTGCCTCTATTCTTGCCTTCCAGGTGTGGGAATTGCCAAATGGTGTGAAATAATTAAACATTTAACTTAAAATGTTATATTTTATTTGACCAGTTAACAAACGTTTTGTTGAACCAAAAGCAAGGCATCTTAATTCTTGTATCAAAGGCAATAATCAATAAAATCTAAATTTAAAAAGCAGTATCAAAGCAAGACTTTAAGCACAGAGCAAAATATGTAGAAATTTGGTAAGCTTTCTCTAATCTATGGATCAATCAAAAAAAAAACAATAATATGATCAGCAAGCTAATCATAAATGGTTGTACAATATCCTACAATTGCTTTGATTGGTCAAGAGTTTAAAAATCTTTGATTTCAACCAATCAACTTGCTTGTATGGATATATTGAAGAACCAATGAGTACTGTCAGACAATTTTTGAAACAACTGTTTTGATTGGTATTATATTTCAATACTTTTGATTTCAACCAATGGAATCATCTGTATGACTGTTGTACAACCATACACAATGAATTTTCTGATTGGTCAACAATTGTGGCCTACAGCCAATCAAATCGATTGTATGAAATTGTTGTACCACTTTAGTGTAGTACAATCATGTTAAACCATTGTTCTGATTGATCAACAGCTATTGCTAACCACTAATCAAATCAATTGTATGATTGTTGTACAACCATGATCATACATACCTTACAAATATTGTACAACATTGTATGATCATATTGAGACTTTTTCTAAACCAACTGATGTAAAAGATATGAAGCAATTTGATGATTTCCCTAGTTGAGGTGCAAGACAAATATCCACAACAGCTCAAGTTCAAATTTATACACAATGGAGATGAATTGCTTGTGCACGATCAAATTACAATGGATTAATTCTGATAATGCACTGACTGCAAGTTTTTATGATATTCAAATGATAAGCGAATCTAGATAAGCAATGTGAAGTTTTAAAATTAACATCTTATAATCAGAACTATTAAAGTAATTTCATAATTCACCTTCCTGGCTAGGTATTCTCGAAACTATCTTAGCACTAGGATATCCTAGAAACAATGTAAGAAGATTCCTAGGACATCCTAGAGCTAAGATCATTTCAAGAATACTTGGCCTTCAGCATACTTCTGTTTCCAGTTATACTGAATAAAGGAAATACATTTTTGGACAAATCAGAAATCAGAAATCTACAGCTCAACAATTGAAAATATGAATTTTACATACCAGTAAATGAAACAAGAAAATGTTCAGATTTTCTTGTATTTTGAGATCATTTTGAGAAAGGTAAGTAATTATTTCAAAGCTTTACTTTAATTCATTAAGTTTCTAGTTCAAAATGTGAATCCATCAAAATTCTCAATCAGATGTGTTTAAAAACCTTTTATGAAATTATTTTTGAATTATGTACAAGATGCCTCTATTTGGATGAAAATGGATGCTAAGTTTCTATTGGTCAAATTCATATCAAAAACATTATGAAAGCACAAATTTGCATTATTTAAATAAAAGTTAATATAAACAAAAATATGAATTTAAAACAATTCCAAGTCTAATTAAGACTCATAATGAAGATCTTTTTAAGGCCAGACCGGGTTCCCACAAAACCACAAAAGATATGTTTCAAAAAATTAAAATTTCATTTTTATAAAAATATTTTCACAGAATGCAAATTTCGTAGTATCAAAATACAAACTGCAAAGTTAATTTGTAACCAAATTGCATGAAAATATTTTTTTATGGGAACTGTGGGTATTCTGAAAAGATCATTGTGTCCCAAAAGGCTGGTTCCTTTATTTGTGACTTATTTTATCCCAATTTATTGTAAACCATAAAAACAATTTTGGGGACTTTAGTTTTTGGCTGCTGGTGGCTGCCATATTGATTTTCAGAGACAGTCTAATCACTTTAGCTAATAAAATGGTCGCTAAGTCAGTTAGGTTTCTCGAAACACTCATCACTTTTTTGCAGGTTTATTTTCTACCCACATTTTGAGCAAAATTTAAATAAATTTAACAAATTATGTAACAACTTGGGTCTGGACGCCATCTTGAAAATTCAAATTCATCTCCAAATTCAAGATGGCTGAAGAAATTATAAACATCTTCATCTTGAATTTTATTTCCAAGATGGTAGAAGGGTGCTATACCCTTCCAACAGATTCACCGATTCAGATGATCATTTAGTCTTTTATTAGTTTATATCACGATTTAGGTTATCTTTTCCTCTCTCTCTCTCTTTCTCTCTGTCATATTGCCACAGTTATTGGAAGAACAGTATAGTGTTTTCAGTCATTATCACATAAAACAACAAAATTTCTTCCATCCAGTCTTTTTCTCATTTGGTTGCACAGCTAAAGGACTTTTGCTGTCGATGGACAGTTTCCCACGTTTTGATTTTCGGCTCGGTGTTCGTTTTAAGGCACTAGTTAATTTTAACGATACAAGAATCGCAGTATCGAACACTTCCTTCAAATTTTTCTGAGTCAACGCAGAACACTCGACATATTGCATGGCTCCGATATAGTCTGCCAACACCGTGGCTTCCTCTTCAGAGACAGGTGCTTCCTTGTATCGAGCCAGCTCTATCAATATCTGTACATCATTACGAAGGTCACCTTGAGTTCCGACCAAAACTATTGGCGTTTTAGGAGAATGTTTCTTTATTTCAGGTACCCATTTATCCACGACATTTTTAAAGGACGTAGGCGATACCACACTAAAACACACTAGAAAGACATCTGTATTGGGGTAGCATAATGGCCGTAATGTATCAAAATCATCCTGAAAAGACAAAACGAAAGCAAAATTAACTATTGAAGACAATTGGCAATGATTTTTGGCAAAGAATTTGATTTGATTTTCAACTTCCATACTGCCCAATTATTATAAACGTTCCTATTTCTTGCTGTTTTGATTACCCCAAATATTATACCATGAAGTAACATATTGTGAAAGATATTCGATACCAGATAGCCTGATATCTGTATTCTCATGAATACACTGTGTTATAACGCCAGATGTTTGGGTTATCTGCTGTAATGGTTTTTACGATTTATTATCAAGTTGAAGTCTGTTTTCATGCAATGTTTCCACTGCACAAGTCTGACTCATAGACAATATGCCTCAATTCTGTGTCAAAAACTTTCCAATTACAACACTGATTTTTTTTATTAACTAGACCTTTCAAATAAACACCAAGTTAAAAACAAGGAAAGAAATACTTTGGCTTCCTAAGCACAAAATAGAATGCGATTTAAAGCATGATTTGAACTCCATCTTAGTGGCCTCATTTTGCTAACTGTCAAACACTAACCTACTAAAAAAAAAAGGTGCAAGGTATTCTTAACTTTCCTGAGCACTGATGGTTATTCTTTTATTTAGCTTCAGCAATGGTCCAGTATCTAAATTCCTGAATAGTCTGGACTAATATTGTTATAATGTGAGCCCTGCATGACTAGAAAGCACCTGCTAGAACTCTGCATTTGTGTTTCACTGTGTGTCAGTATTACTTCTATTACATTCATATTAGAAACATATATTGTACAATGGTAACAAACTCTTATTTGAACTTTGTATCCATAGTCAACCACAAAGCATCAAAAAAACTGAATCATAATGTAGCAAAGGAAAGATAAACAGAAATGGGAAGAGAGGACTACTTTATCAAAATATCTCTGGGTGGTTTGTCCATTCAATATAGACATCAAACGAACTTGGTTGGGCCACAATTTGAATAAACCTAACTTTATAAATAAAAGCTGAACTACTAGTAGGTCTAATGTATTTAATGTAATGAAAGCAATCTGTTGGAAATGAAATGGTGTTTTACCTCCTACATTTCACCTGGTTTTGCAATTAGGAAAATTTTGTCACACTAGTTCAGCCTACAGTTGTAGGGATGTAGGATAAGTGGATGACCTGTACCACACAGGCATGGGTTTATTGTCCAATCCAACAGTGCAATATGCATCAAACATATACTAGTTACAAACATACTAGCTAATAACCCATGCACAAAGCACATCATCAAAGACAGATTTACCAAAAGCTCAACAGACCCACAGTCATTTGAATATTCTGTCTATTAGCTTGTTTATTAGAAAGACTACGGTAGTCGTTGAATAGGCCAATACAGTATCTCTCTAGAATATATATTTGTAATCATGAATAGAACGTAGTCAGTGGTAGAAACCAACTTTTTTTGATCATTGGCCAACTTCTATAATAACTTCATGATAACAAGAGGAAATCATCATATTATCTATATTGATAAGAGCTACATGTAGACCTTACATAGCCTGGCCATGTATTCCTAAAACATCCTAGCACTAAGATCTTTTTGAGAATATGTAGCCTGGGTCCTTCCTAAACACAAGAGAACTACAAGAAATATTTTTGAAGCACTTGACTCTACAAGGACTGGCTGCATATTCTCGAAACGATCTTAGAGCTAGGATATCCTAGAAACAGCGTTAGTATTTACAACAATGGGACATCCTAGCGCTAAGATCGTTTCAAGAATACATATTCAAGGTCCTTCCTAAACACATATTTTTGAAGCCCTAGGCTTTACATAGCCTAGTGTTCAACACCTTTCGTTGGTTCCTTGAAAAATTGAAGCCAAGCCAACAACAAGTCCACTGGTCCATAGTGCAAGTCATCACATCAGCATCCCTAAAGTGATAAACCACCCTACAGAAGCTGTCTGAGAACTTAATTGACAAAAGCTCATCTTTTCTTTCAGTGTGATCAGATATCTTATATAAACTAATCTAAATTATTCCATGCTCCTAAAATATCAGATATAAACCTATATCTGGAGACACTTGCAGACAAATCCCCCAAAAATATCAGATGTTAAGAAACACAGGCAGACAATTCCTACTCAGACACTCTGCCAGACAAATACCAGCTTATCTGGTAACATTTAACAGGTTATGAGAAAACTAAGAGACGATAAAAATAAATAAGGCTAAACGAACGAGGTCAAGACCAATGCATTGTTCATTGAAGAAATAGAATTCAATTTTCAGTAGACCACTTAATCCTACTGCAATTTTTTGAGACTAATAGTAATCATTGTGGTCTGAATCAGTTCATGAAAGGAGTGCTTCATCATTAAGGCCTGGTGTAACAGGGGCTTTAGACTAAGAAAGTTAGGGTAATGGTAAGAAATAATAGTTTAAAGAATGAGAAGAGTTCATTATCACTTTATTTCCTGGTGTAAAATGGTCTTTAGTTCTACAACTGGAGATCTAAGAAATACTAATTTCAGGAAAAAAACTCAGACCAATACATACTTCAATGGGGTCAAACATAGGTGGTCTCCAGTCTATTCATAATAATTGAATAGTAATCAGAGTACGAAAGGACCAAGTCTACCTTGGTCTACTTGACTTCCAATCCATTGATTTGATTGAAATAACATGATATTTCATTCATACTTCACTCAATAGAGGTCCGACAACATTTACAACTCAAAGGTTGTTCACCACTTTAGAGAATGACTTAGTTTAGAAAGGTAGTCTTCTCGATCTAGGCTTTAGTTTTCTTCAACAATAAATATATACCCTTAATTCAAGGGCTGTTGATTTGGATCTGTATGCCGGCCATGGGAAGCTTAAGGGCCTTAGATAAATTTATTGACCATAAATTATGTAACTGTCAGTGTTTGTTAAGTTTTACATGTTTTTTGGACCAATCAAAGTGTATCAGATATATATTGCCAGTTTTGTGACAAATGTCATATCCTCATCTCTTTAACCTTATACACTATACTATACATCATTTTAAATTACACTCAATTTCTCTGCTTAGTTTCATTATAATTATATGAAATTAACAGAGCAGAAAGTCACCATTTGATGAAACCCATTAGTAGTACAAAATGATTTATATTTCAAATACTGACCGCATAATATCATATCATCATTCATCTAGCCTGACCCAATTATATTAAAATATAGGTCAAATAATTCAAAATTTCCATAATTAACTGGGAAGAGGTCTAATTGGAAATGGCCCAGAGAATATTTAATGGGGTTACAAAACTACTAAGTCAAATGGGACCAACAATATCCCTATGAGATAGTTTTTGAAGGAAATGATCACCATTAAGCTAACCATTGAGAGTTTTGTGTGATAAATCCCCTAAATAATCCCACAAGATCCACACAGTCGTGGGAAAGGACCCTTATCACTAGAAAGTAAAAGTACAATTATTTTACAAGGATTTGTAAAGGATATCCTTCGAATAAATGATAAAAAGTCAAAATGAACATGAGAAAAACCAAATTCCCAAGCGCAAGAGATAATTCAAAATCAGTACACCGTGTTAAGCTTTGCCCAAACAAGCCTTCCCCCCACCCTACAAATATTGCTGACTCGGTCATTCTCTACTAGATCTATAACCATTGCACAAGTGAAATAGTTCACTTGGTAGTAAGTTCAATGCTTGGCAATTAGGTGCCATGGGTTTAAATCCTACTTTATGTAAGAAATATTCTGATGCATGTTCTTTCTTATATCGACCATTGCCAGTTTTCAGCATATCCCAACATTTGAAATTCAAATCTTCAAAAAGATTCAAAATGTGTTTTTTTTTGTGTTAAAAAAGAATGTTCAAAGGTTGTTTATGGAAGTTGTTTATGTTTTGACTGTCACTGACTGACAGGTTGTAAAGACATGACATGGTGTCATATGACATACTGACATTCATTATGACAAGTTAGGTTAGATGTCCCTAGATTTATGTCCAAATTTCTTTTTACAAAAGAGTTTTATGTTCGTTTATAAGAGACAAAATAGCCTTATGAAGATAAACATGTTTTTTTTTTCATCGTTTACAAAATAACCCCATGTAGAATTAACAATAGAATTTACAATCTTTTTTTCAAAATACTGAAGTAAGAAATGAATAATGTACCACCATAACTAACTTATGTTGGAAATCTATGAAATTTAAAAAAAAAAAAAATTGTTTATTGACCACATGACACCAAAAGTTAGAAGTAAGAATAGGTCAGAGTCAATAAGAATATGTTCTGTGGTCAATAACTCATTTAACATTCTACTGCTTCTTTCTGTTGACTTAAAATCCATTTATCACTGACGTTCTATAATGTCTTATAACATATTGTCAACATAAATAGCATTTATTATATACAGACACAGTGATACAGTTATACCATGTTCCTTCCACTTTCTATAATGTCTTATTTAAGAAAGGTCCCTGAACATTTTTTCAGTTTATCAATGTATAAACAGAAAAAACCTGTGTACACTGTATAAATCCGTGTAGCGGTTTATACATAAGTGTACACCGTTTTTTTCCGTTAAGGGGCGGAGATTATATTTACATTCCGTTTACACAGATATAAACCAAATTTACGTGACCACTGTTATCCAATTTACGTGACCACTGTTATCCAATCAAATTGCGTGTTACCGTGTAAATGGAATCATGATTTAATTATAACATATTGTCTACATAAACAGTATTTATTACATACAGTGTAATGATACAGTTATGAGATGTTCCTTCCGCCTTTCAGCATATGAAATAGCAAATATATCTAAACTCTCCAATCCTAACATGTTCTTTGAGTTCTCAAACACACATATCCTTTTAAAAAAAAAAAGCCTTCCTCATAAAATTTTGCCAAAAAAATTCATATCTATGAGCAATAGCAAATATATTTAAACCCTCAATTCCAACCATTTGAGTTTCATTTTCAAACAAACCACATCCTTTCCAAATTGCCTTCCACATTCAGATTATT